CTGGATTATGCGCTGAGCGATGTAGGATGACGATGGAGGATGAGAAACCGCCTTATAAGTTAGCGGAACAAAGTGAGCAGAATTAATTCTAATTAACATTTTTATTTATTGCACATTTGTTGCTAAAAAGTTGCCAAAGAAAAAAATTTTTTGCTTTGCCAATTTTTTTGAAATGATGTTTCGCTAAAGGAAGATTAAGTTAGCAGAACTGATGTCTGATGAATTAATACTAAGATGATCTGAATTTGTTGCTGTCGAAATATGCAAGTTACGAATTTGTTGCTTACAAAATTCCAGGGTGGGGAAATAATAGGTGTGAAAATCTCTCAGTATGCAAGAAGTTACAAAAGATTATCCTTAGAATAAAACTTTAAGCAAGCACGAACAAATTTTTTACTAATGTTTTACTCTTCTTTAAATGATGTTTCGCCAGCACGCTGAGGTTTTTCGTTATTATTTACACTTGTTTCGTAGGTAATGGATTAAAAACTAAAATATTCGACAGCAACAAACTAGCAACAAATTCCTACGTTATTTTGAAGTAGATTGGTTTTGTTATATGTATATTGATCCGTTAACTTAATCTTCCTTTAGCGGAACATCATTTTAAAAAAAATTGACAGAGCAAAAAATTTTTTTCTTTGGCAACTTTTTAGCAACAAATAAAAATGTTAATTAAAATTGATCCTGCTCACTTTGTTCCGCTAACTTATAAGACGTAATGAGGAGGTGCATTGGAGACAGCTAGCTACAATTGACGCGATCCTAGATTTTGGATTCGGGCTCTACACACACAAATAATATATACATATAATATATTTATTTTTCTTTGCGTTTGCACTCAACAAGCATTATTATAAATTGTTTAATATACATATATTAAATATTTAAAATCTGCATTAAGCATCTGATTTATTCGATTTATCTATTTGCGATTATCAGGGATTCGGACAGAAAAAATTCCGAATAACGGTCCTACGCTAAATCCAACTTTTGATTCCAGTTTTTTTATCATAACGGTTACCGGGTTTGGATTTTGATCGTTTTTGGGTCCTTTGGGTTTCAATTTTCGGTAATTATATACCATAATGATCACATAGTTATCACTAAAAGAACTGAAATCGACACCGAAATTGAAAGTTGGGTACCTTCGGACCGTAATCGTAACCAGTCGAAATTTTAATGTATCCGTAATGTATCGATAATATAATTTCGGTCTGAGCCCCTGTTGATTATGCATATGTTTTTATTCAATACATAAAAGTATTCGCATGCACCAGTGCGCATTAATATATTCAATCGAATCCACAAATAATAGTTTAGAAATTAGTTGACAAGTAATTGTTATATTATCATGTAACATACCGTGAAAAATTGTGAAAAGATCCTATAAAATGTTAAAGTGTTAATGCGAATTAAGAGTAAATTACGTTTATAATTATGTATATACAATAATTAAATTGTGTACATAAAGCAAATGTGTATTATAAGAATTGTACAACATTAAAAAATTGCGAACATTACTACTAATCGTAAAAAATTATATGTTGTTATGTAAGATAAAAGCATGTATTTTAATTGCATTTTTAAATATTGCAATTGTATGATTTATACATTTTAAAACTTCTCATATATATATTTTATAAATTAAGCGAGCACAAAATTTTGTAAATCATCTTGCAAATATTAAAAACATTCGTTCCAATAATTTAAAACAATCATTTTTAATAATTGTGAATATAATCATTATAAAGAATAGTTTTCAATTAATTGGGACGAATTGATATGTAAAGTAATTAATGAATTAGTTTCGATTATGCAAAATAAAATCATTTTGCAAAATCTTTTAAAATAACGCTGTTGATTGTTCGCGAAGTGATATTATGATATACATCGATATAGGCGTTATTGTATATACATAGGTTTTCATAAAATCAACGAAATTTTACATACCATAACTACCACACTATCATAAACATAATACCAATAATCTCATTCTTATCACCAATATCATTATCCTTCCTTTCATTAGTCATTTAAATTGTATATTGATATAGAGAAAACTCCATCCAAATGGAACATGTTAATGATCCGGAGATATATATTATAGAAGATTATATAATTCATTCGTTCGTTCTCGTTACTTCATGATATTAATACATTTTATGAAAATATTTAAACATTCTTTCAAAACTTTATCTTCAAAAATTTCTAACTCTTGAATAATCAAACTCTATATTATAGAGACTCATCGATACATATGACCAGAGAGAAATAAAAAGCATGTACATTACTATTTAGCTAACTACTATTATTATTAGCTGTTAATAGAGGCAGCATAAATAATGCTATTGTTACTATTATGCTTTTCTAGGTGATATATTTTCACGAAAGTATCGTAATAAAAGAATTGATATGTAGATCTCTCACACTTATGGGAACTTCTTCTCGCTTTCATAAAATCTATCCGTCCGCTGAAGTAGTTGTTGAATCCATAACCAGCTTTTTCTCATACTTTAATAATTTAAAAAGAAAAATATTAGGACTCAATATATTTATGATCTATGATTTGTATTTTGAATTAATACATCGAAATCTCTATGATAATCTGTTTCACAAATATTTACAACTAAATTTATAACTCTTTAATCTTTCATCGGAACGAATTAAAGTATGTTTATTAAGATTAAATTGTCCTAAAAACAGTATTCTTATAAATTTTTTCTTTCAAAAAATCTTTACGTAATGATATATTATTTAAGAATTATGCATTTTTTAAATACCATTAATAAAAAAAATATTAATATTCTATTTCTCTTAAACGTAGTATACGATCCGGAATTAGAAAATTTACAAATAAGGTATATATGCTACTAATGTTAGAGGCCAACGCTTTTTACGAACAGGAAACGAACTATAAAAAGCACAATTACACGTAGAACTTTTCCACCTTCTCCTTAATAAGTTTCCTACTTCTCATCTAAGAATAGACGTTTCGTACGAAGAATTAAAGATTTCTAGAGTGTAGCGCGAATAAAAGAGGCATAATAACATCTAGAATAACATGAATGAAAGTATCACTTTCCTATTTCTAATCGTTACCGCGCAGTTATCTTCCTCAAATATTTTGTACTATTCTTAGAGATATTATATGTATATATATGATAGATTTTTGTACATATTATAAAAATATTCATATGTACGTATTGCACATATACATTTTACGCAAACGGATGTAAGCACGCATAATTTTGCGAGCGATATTGCCTTAGCGCATCTTTCCCAAACTTATCGCCTAATTCTCGATTAATCACATAGAATAGATAATCAAAGCTCTGGCTATGTATAAGATTACTGTACATCTGCATACACGTACAAAGCTCGCTCCTGGATCCTGAATGTAAATATTAAGGGGAAAGGAAAGAAAACTTGTTTGTGAAATATTCACGATAATCGCGAACTCCGATATCAACTTTATCTCGTCAGATCGCGTAAAGGAACGATCGAACACCGAATCTCATTTCATACAAATCGGCTCCTGCGACAAGTCTCATTCATTTCTCATTCTTCATTTGTCATAGATCATTTCGATCCGTATTCATACAGTCGTAGATCGATCCACGATTGATCCTCATTTCAGGTTTGAGCTAAGTTTGAACTAAAGATTGAACCAATCAGATTTATTAAATCGTGGTTTGAAAAGCGCTTTTCAAATAAAAGACTGATTCAAACCTAGTTCAAATCGGATCTCAAGTTGAATCTATGAATATAATCCTTCGAAATTTATATTTTTTGTATCGATATTATATCATTTCCACGTTTCAAATCGCGCGAAATTTGGCGAATTTAATTTAAGATCTGTGCACAAAATGAAAACAATAAGTGTATCTGTAAAGTGCTATATGTGATCGCAGGCACAAATTTTATTATTAACTATACGAATCTCGGAAAGGATTACATGATACTGTCATGTCGACAGTAATTCTCGATTAACAAGCGCACCTACGAATATTTATTTGTACTTTTACGTGTACACGCTATTTACAGATGATGTATGAATGTTTATTTAAACGGAGATGTGTGCTGTGATTTACGTCCAATGTACTTACTTCAGTGTGAAGAGAAGAGAATCGAAAATAAAATAGAAATACAAATATGCGTGATATCAAATTGAAGTACAATCTATTTATATGATTAAATTTTCCTATTTATACCTACATACGTTTATCTTTACATCCGTCAAGTATTTTCACAAATTTTTTGCAAGTGCAAATTAATATTCTGTAAAGGCTCTTTATTTTAATTATAATTTAATTTGCGATTATAATATCAATTTTACAAATTCGATAAAATTATTCAAAATTATTTATCAGAAATTTTATTTTAGATTTTGACATTTATAATTTAGTTTTGTATGGATAATAATAGAGGAAAGCCTGCTATTATGAGATAGTCGCCTAATATGAGATAGCGGCATTTCTGCTAAATTAATAAACACGATCTATTAATTCTACCATGAATTTATTGCTCTTGGATTGAAAATTATTTAGTAGAAAATTCATTATTAGATCATGCCTGCATTATAAAACAAGATTTTAGAATTTAAATGTCTTCAAGTTTCATTGAGATGAGCATTTAAACCTTGTTTGTTATTTAATAAATAAATATTTGGCAATAAATTCTTCATGTAATACAGTAAGGTCATACTAATATAAAAATACGGAATATGTTGAATTATTTAATTATACAGAACTTAGATTTGATAATCGTAAAATAAGGCGTGGAAATCGTAATATGAGATACTCAGGATATTCCTAATATGAAATAATCCATGCTCGTATGTTACAGTGAAAATCGTTGCTAAAGTATAAATGTTATTATACAATAATAAAAAAGACAATCGGGATGAACGTTGAATGCCTATATCTGCGATGCTTGATTCCAACTACCTGAAAACGAGTTCTGGGTATAATCTATCACATACTCATTTTTCGCGCACGCTGGCTGTGTTTGTTTGTATTTTAGAAACATTAAATAAAGTTTTTTAATTGCAATATTGATATACTTTGCGTTTTACTATCGATTTCTCGGGGCATCTCATATTAGGAGCACAATTTTTTGACTTTTTGATTTGCTCACATTTCTTTAATTTTCAAAAAAAAAATGGAATTTGAATTTAATTTTATTAAATTTAAATTTTATTTTGTTTTATAACGTTATCTTAAAGTTTATTAAATTCCCTTCAAAATGACCTATTATTTGTTTAAATTCTATCTATAGACTTCTAGCATTTATCCAAAATGAACTCGGTATCTCATAATAGGCCCGCTTTTCTTCTATATATTTATTATATCATTACGTTATTACGAATTTGACAAAAGCAAATCAAAATCATTATTTAATTGTCAAATATAATTATACAATCATATTTTTTCATAGATTTGTTACAAATAGAAAAATATACAGAAAAATAATACAACTGGAAAAAAATATGTATATTTAAGAAAAATTGCAAAAAAGTTGCAACATTTTCGTTCTCATTAGATTTTCAAATGCACAAAAATGTCGAATCGAAGGCAATCTCACAGTCTTTCCGCGCCCTAGAATTCGCTGATTTCCAATGCAATTTCTCACTAGCTCCTAGGGAATACTTATGTTTCACTCCATGAAGAGACTGTTTTCTGTTCCTGTACTAGAACTTTCTTTAAGTTCTAAAAGTGTACACTGGTTCAGCCACAGAAAACAGATTTTAGATTTACAAACGTAATTTTTGGCGCCATTTTAGTGCCTAACCTAACAAAGATGATCGTGCCGATCAAAAGGTAAATCATAATTTGTTCAGTAACATTTTATTTATTATGAAAATCGAATAAACTTTTTTTGAATATCAAATAAATTTTAGTGATTTCTTTTTAGAGACGGAAACATAGAAACTTGGGCTATTATAGATCTCCAAGGCGATTTAAAATTCGAAACGATTGATAATCCAGGCGATCAATTAATCGGCGATCTTCACTTCACAAAAACTGGAGTACCTATATTAATTATCGGAATTCACGTGTTACATGGAAAAGAAGTAACACTTGATAAGCCACTGCTTGTATTGGAGAAACATCATGATACGAGAGATGAGACAATGGAGGAGGAAACTACGACAAAAACAGAGTACTTTGTGAAAGCTATTGTGAGAAAGAAACTTTTGTTTAAGTCAAGACCGAAACCTATAGTAACCAATGTACCAAAACCATGTTAAGACAGGTTCAAGATACTATTGTACTTGTGCTTACATATATGTATACAACATTTCATAAGAAATAAAATGATTTTATTGAATTAAATTAATTCTTAATAATACAAGGGATTATAATAAAAATTAAAGTATTAGATTTTTGTCGTTTTAATCCTTCATCTCGCCCTCTTCATCTGATTCTTCTACTCCTCTTATATACATAACATTGTTACACCTGATTAGTACTTCTCCAAGATTTCCAGTACAATTGCCCTCTATATGTTCTTCAGTGTTTGCAAGCTGCAAGTTCATATATCCATCAACGGAGACGAGGTAACCTTTATATTCGTGGCCCCATTTTAATTTCACCATGACTGGTTTCCCTGTCAAACCATTTAGGAATGGCTTGGGATTTATTGGCATTGTCGCAGCCATGATGTAAATCTGTAATCTGTATTTTAAAAAATGTATTAGATACATGTTATTTTGTTATTCATAAAAATAAAGTATTTGTAACACAATCCTTCAGAAATATATTAAAATATCAACTTTTATAACAACGCGAATAGCATAGTTTTTTTTTTCTAGTAGTTTCTATTGAACGATGAGCAATGAGTGCCTTCAACTTTATTTTGAGGTTATAACACCTTTTATCATTTTTCCGCGCGCGCGCGTTTCATACTTCAAACTACATAGTTTTCTCAATTTTCTTTACACAATTGTAAATAATTTTCTTTAACTGTTCGTGTTTAATTAAACACGAATAGTATCTTCTATTATGCCGGTTAGATCAAAGTACACATGCAAAAATCAAGTAGCATTTGTGGCAAATTTTAATAAAAACACAAATTATGTTACAAACAACAAATATAAAAATATATACTTACTTTTTAACAGAAACGTAAATACAAAAATTCTTCGTGCACAGGCACGTGCTCGATTTCGATTACAGCAAATGTGTTTGATGTATACGGTACAAATCGCATATGTTTATACATTCTTTCACGAGCTGCCAACTGCAAGAGATAAAATCTCATCTACATGTCCAGAAATTGTATCCAATCAGAAAATCGCAGGAAGATCTTGTCCAGAAATTGTATCCAACAGAAAATCGCAGATCTTGGTTTAATGCGTTTGTGAAAGTTTGTTTACATTTGTTAATGTCTATCTATTGGATCGTCTAAAGCAATTGGAGCAATTAACCTGGCAATCTGATTTTGTTATATTGAGAGGTTCGCTGACAATGAATATTTTACCGAAGAAAAGGTAAGACAGATGCATTCAATTTGTATATATCTTGAAACTGATTGTTTGTTGTGTTCATTCAGGTGGCATGTACGAACGAAGGAGAATATCGCTCGTGTACGGAGAGACGAAGCGAAAGCTGCAGAAGAAGAGAGGATTAAGAAAGAACGAATTCAGAAAGCAGTACGTGATAAATTGTTTTTAAAAGTTTCGATTATGTATATCTCGTATTTTACTATCAAAAATTATTTTTGGACGTTTTTAGGTATGGGCTTAATTTTGACAAAGTTCTTTTATTTTTCATTAGGAAACAGAAGCAAGAGTAGATTTGTTAAGACATCGAGCAAGATCCACGTACGATGGTCGGTCAACAACTGAAGGTTCTTCTAGCAAGAAAATAGAACATGTCAACTTTTTTGCTGAGCTTGAAGATGGAAAAATTGATTATAGTAGACCTAATACAGAACATGAGAAGGAAAAGAAGGAAGAGAAAGAGAAATATGAAAAACAGATTGGATATTTGACATATTTGGGACAAGATACCAACGAAGCAACTGGGAAAAAAAATTGGTACGAAGAATTACCAAAGAGATTAACGGATACAGAGAAAGACGTGGAGATAGAAATAAAGAAGAAAACCTTAAACGATCCAATGATTGATATAAAGAAGTATCTCAAGATTATGCATTCTAAATCTGAAGATCATTTAAAAGTAAAAACAGAGAGCATTAAAAGAAAGCATCGTGATTCTGATAGTTCTCATTCCAATGATGAAAGGCACAGTAGATATAAAGATAAAAAACATAAGAAAAACCATAAACATTCAGAGAAAAAAGAGGATAAAAGTGAGACTGGTACAAATATAGAAAAATTAAGAGCAGAGAGATTACTCAGAGAACAAAGTGAAAAGTTAAGAACTGAAGCATTGTTGGCCAAAGTGAGGGGTGAACCAATGCCTGTTGTAGCACCAAAAACTCCTAAACCTGCTATAAAACAAAAATATAACTCGCAATTCTTTCCTGAAATTGCTAGACAAAATGCAGAGAGAACTCCCAAACATTCTAGACAAAATATGGCAAGTCCTTAAAATATATTATTTTTGTATCTTTTTTATTCTGAGAAATTGTAATTATAATTGTGTAATAATCTTTATAATTATACATATAATATATGCATATAGAAAATTGTTATTAAGTTGTATAAACTACTCCAAATGTACAGTATATACAAATATCATAATGTTATCAAACAGACTTAAACTATTGATTAATATATGTATGTTTAATTTTAAAATATTAATATTTTTTATTTTACGATAATTCTACCTCGAAATTTAGCGCAAAATTTCCACAATCGAGGATATGGAGTGCGTTCCAAATTTACTGCCAGTACTGAAAATCTATAGTTCACATAAGCTATAGAGTTTTTTTTATGTACCCAATGGTTGCATGAATATGCTTATGTGTGTTCACATTAGGCTTCCTTTTTAGCTGAACTTGCACGGTTCACTTTCCTTTTTTTTCTCTCCAACCTGAAGAGAAAAGGAAGAAAGACGAACTATGCAAGAACAAAAACTTTAGCTGAAAAGAACAGATCTACGGTCTCCTGCTTATCCCTATCATATATAAAGGCGTATTCAGATTCCTATCTAGGTACTCCCCAGATGTCATGTTATCCTTGTGTAACGTTCGATAAACAACAAGGATGGAGTGATACTTGGGTGATACTCGAATGGGAATCTGGGGTCATATTCTTGAAAAGAAACGTATACAAAAGTTTAGGGAATGCTACAGTATACGTCACGTATACTGTATACTATAGTATTTCCCTAGACTTTTGCATACGTTTCTTTTCAAGAATAGAGCCCCTGAACTCAGCATAAAGTGATGCAAGATAACTTTTGCTCCAGACAGAATGAGAGAGGCACACTAAACTCGTGTTTTCGTGCGTCGCCTCACCGGTGATTCTCTTGTCACTTTCCGCAATTCCCGCGCGCCAGCATAATCACCGTAGCCGGAAATCTCGAACCAGACGCCGTGTGCGAGGTGTTAAGTGAGAGACACGATTTTGAATTCGAATAGAATTCGAATATCTTCGCGAGTGCATCTCCTCGCTTCAACTTCATCGCGCGTGGTGTCCGATTTGTCTCTGCGGAGACGGCAGCGTATCTCGAATAGTGCTTAGAGTTCGCAGAGATAACCTCATCATTCCGTATTGATGTTGCATGTACATATATGTACATACATTTAGGTGTTTACGCGTATTTCGCGATGGATATAATTAGTGAATATTGAAACGAATCCGTGTAATTTGTCGCGCTCACATTTATCTCGGGACTGTTTAAACTCTAAATTGGAACTCGTAATATTAAACTATTTACATAATAGAGTTTATATAAGATGTAACATAAAATTGGAATTTTGTTTTAAGAACAAAAAAAAGGATATTACGACAGATTTTAGCCGAAGTGATTCATGGATTGAAATTGTGTTGCGAGTGACATTCTAGTTAAATTAATCGTGTAAACATCTTGGAACGTTTGTGTTGACACTCAATCAGATTATTCTACGATTCTTCATCAGCAATGACTGAAGAAATGAATGACATATCTTACTTAAGCTATGACATAAATGGTACAAGATACATTTATAAACTTGCACCATCACCGACAGACATTATGAAGAATTCGGCAGTGAGTGAAGAACAAACTACAGTTGATATTGCTAAGGGAAGTGAATTGGACAGTGGAGAAGAACCGATTTCATTAGTGTGTTTGAATGGACAGGTATATGCGATTAAGAATGGAGTGATTGAAGAGGTGGGTACCAACCTGCAATCTGTAGAACAAACGAGTTACAATGAAAAGGCACTCTTGATGTCAAAGAATATGGAAAATAACGAAAATGATTATATCAAGAATGAGAATATAGTAATCGAAAGTCCATACAGACAAACTGAGGAGCAATATGAAGTCGCTACAGAAGAAGCAGTGAAAGATCTCGTTGGACAAGATAACAACATTAACGTCGGTGATTTCTTAGAAGTTGTGACTGCTTTTAAATGCAAGATGTGTACTTACCTGTCTCAGGACAAGATACAATTATTAGATCACATTCAGAAACTACATTTAAATACTACTATAGATATTACAGTAAGTAGATCTCTAGACTCCAACTGTAGTTCACACAATTTTAATCAAAGTAACTGTATTTTGCTTAGCAGAAGCAATATAAAATAATGCAATATAAAAATTGGCTTACTTTTATTATTATATGTAGCCAAAGGAAGAATCTAAAATGGATGAAGTAAAAATAGTTTATATGTGTGCGGAGTGTTCCAACTGCTTCCATTCTTTTGAGGACTGTAAAGAACACATGATTAATGTAATCATCTTAAATTTTAATTTTTGAAAGATAGGCTACTTTTATCTGGACGATATGATAGAAATTTCTTCTAGGATCATCAATTAACAGATATTGCGAGTGATGAGGCTGGAAAAGAAAATTTGACAGACCTAACGAATCCTAGCTTGGTAACTGAACATGAGGCTCAACATATTGAAAGCAATGAAGCAGAAAAAGATCCAGTAAAAATTTCGAAAACCTTAAATTCAGAATATATGCGTAATAGGAAAATGATAGAGTCAGCGGAAAGAAATGTCAAGTATGTAATTCTCCAAAAAAATATGTATTATGTAGAACAAATCTTTTACTTGTTATATTTAAACGTGCAATTTTTGCAAGGTGTTCTTATCAGGGCTGCCAATACAAATTCGCCTCGGAAGAAATTATGCAGCAACATATTCTTTACCATACAGAATCTGAAACTGCAACAACATTTAAATGCACCATATGTCGAGATATGAAGTTTACGAAGTGGCGCCAATGTAACTTGCATTTATGGAAGAAACACCAAATTGGTTTGTAAATATAAGATAAATAATATAAGAAAAAATTCACATTTTTATGTACTCTTTTTTTATGTAGACATAGGCTTGTTTACCTGCAAAATTTGTAAAGTCTACAAAAGTGCTACCATGGTAAAACTCTTGACGCACATGAGGGTACACAGTGATACTCGTGATTACAAATGTCCCGATTGTGAGAAATGTTTCAAACAAGCTAGCCAGTTACGTAATCATCGCATAATGCATTTAGATCGCAAAACATTAGAAGTAACTCGATGGTATACTTCTAAGACATGCGACATGTGTGGTAAAACATATGCGAATTCAAAATGTTTAAAGAATCACATTCAAGCTGTTCATTCCAAGTTACGTCCGTACGTTTGTAACGTTTGCGGTCATGCTAGTGCCAGAAAGGCAATGTTACAAATGCATTTGCGTCAACATACAGGAGATAAACCTTTCAGCTGCGAGATTTGTGATTACAAAACTGGAGATCACAATACCTTACGACGGCATATTATGCAACACACAGGTGAGTTATATTACATCCAAAATTAATTATTATGGAGTAACTTAATTTCTCACTACAGGATTTCGACCGTATAAATGTCCACATTGCTCATATAGCGCGATACAGAGTAGCAGTTATAAAAATCATTTAAAATCGAGGCATCCTTTGATGTCTGGCTTATTCACATGCGATCTGTGTTCTTTTAAAACGGTGAAAAATGAAAGTTACATCCAGCACTTAGGTGACCATGAAAAAGGTTTAATAAAATCTAATGTGCAGAAAAAAGGTAACATTAAAATTTGTTGAACTGCTTGCAATTCTTGT